CACATAAGTGGTATATGACACACTGGGTTTTCCATATGCCTCCAGTGTAGTGTATCCTTCAGCATAGTCAAAGTCTTAGTCATACAAGACAGTCTTCTACCTTTCATTTTGTCACAGTGTTTAAGGTACAGAAGTGGGAGGCCTGTGGCAGATCTGTGTACAAAATCATCTGGAAGCATATGCCTGCATATACTTAACCTGGAAGATGTAATAAAAAATAAGCTTACCTATTATCTTGAATAAAAAACTGTATTACAAGTTTTTTAAATAATATAACCGGAATGAAAGTCAAGAATATTACATGAGGGATAATACTATGAAGGTTTGATACATATGTCAAAATTAAATTACAACCTAACACAGGCCTCTGAATGGAAGGTGAGGGATTAAGATCAATGATGGTAAAATATTAAGTAATCTTAATTAAGGAAAATAATATACTCTATTTCAAAAAAAGAAGACAGGGGATAAATATTATAATTGATTTTTAAGGGCTGGAGATAAGAAGAATAAAGGGATAACTACATAAATCCTGCACTAGTCGGTCGTCTAGGTAGAAGAATAATTTCTCAATTCATAAAATTTTCTTTATAGAAATGTTATCATGGCATGATATGATTTTAGGCAAATTAAAGCCAAATCACATTCACCAAAATCTATCAGATCATATTTGGAGACAATCTAAACATTCCAAGCTGTTTAGTCAGTTTTACACCTATTTCCCTACTACTATCCACTGTATCAGCAGGGATTTGTGTTGAATTTAATTAAGCTCTACGTCAAGGGTCAAAAGTGTCTGCCTTCGTATCTCCCCGTATGGATTATGCTTCCAAAGTTCTGATGGAAAATAACAAGACATAGCACTAACCACAGCCACCCAATCATGAATGGGAAACAGAAATTCAAACTTGATTTACTGTACTGTTTCGTTAATGGTTGTAACTACTACAGATGACCTAATATTACAAGTTTCTTTTCATGTTGTTATCAAGCACTTCCAAGATCTCAACTTAAAAAGAGAAAGTGGGAAAGACGATAACAAACCAAACTATAATGAAATTACTCACAGGTTTGCTTGTTTTTCTAAATACAATCAGTGAGCATTTCTTCAACCTGCATGAAGCAAGATCACAATTACCCACACTTCATGAAACACTGAACCACATAGGCAACTTTTCCTACCCAAGGTTCTATTTGATTGGAAATAAGAGAAAACTAAACACCAGCAGAATTCTTACAGGCATCCTTACAACAGAATGTATGTGTATTTATCTCATGTAGCTACATCTGTACTTTTTGAGTTTCATTAGACCTGTTCTTGATATGGTATGTAAGTTCACAAAACTGAAAAAAGAAAATTTTAATTTTATTTAAAGCATACCTTACTTATGATGTTTTAATGTATGACAAATTCATCTAGTCCTTGTGTTTTCATCTTGGACACTCACATTATCACCATTGAACACAGGCACATTTCCAACCATTTCATTATCATTGGATCATTGTATGTAGAAACATTTTTAGTTTTCTCTTATTACTGATCATATGTATTTCTCAATTCTTCCTCTTCACGAGAAGAGTTTTGTGTTTCCACTGATAAATTAAACTCCTATGTAATCAGTGACTAACCCACCGACTGACATAAAGCGGCCAGACGACGGACAGCCCATTCAGAACTGGAATCCACCCATAGGAACACTCTGGTCTGCATTAAACTGATACTGCTGTGCATCCTGATCCACTGATGGAGCAACCCGAGAATCTTCCTCTTCACTTCCAAAATAATGCTCAATGATATCAAAAGCTTTCTGATAAATTTCCATGTTCTCATGGGACTGCAGGAACTCTATCTTGTCCAGACCTGAAACATTATTATACTAAATAAAAAATCTGCTATCATTGGTGGCAAGATGGGTGATGGCCAATTTATACTGGCCTTGCGGTAGAAACTTTGTTAAGTCCAACAGAAGTAAATGCCTGACATAATGATCAGTTTGAAAGACAGCTGTGTAATCACAGCTCTTGTCTCATTAACATTAAACACAGCTCAACAGAAATACTTCACATTCTAATCTTCCAAGTTCATACCAGTG